ACTCCCACTCCCACTCCCACTCCCACTCCCACTCCCACTCCCACTCCCACTCCTCCTGCTGCTGCTGCTGCTCCTGCTCCTGCTGCTGCTGCTGCTCCTGCTCCTGCTCCTGCTGCTGCTGCTGCTGCTGCTGCTACAGCTACTGCTACTGCTACTGCTACTTCTGCTGCTGCTCCTACTACTACTCCTGGCGACTGTGCTGGGTGTTGGCTGCTTGCTGCTGTTGCTTCTGCTGCTACTGGTGCTGGTACTGCTGCCGCCGTACCACCTCATTGACGCTTCAACTTCACATCTACAAATCGATAAAGTTTAAAGAGTGGGCCCAGGGTCACGACACGCATTTTCGCCTACGGGGACTCCTACGCAAAACCTACCGTTTTCGCCTACGGTGCCAGTTCATGCAGATGATGTATGGCCTCTAACATGCCATGAGTTCACTGCACACATGTCCCAAGAGTTTCTAATCTCCATGTCCTAGACTACGTCAAGGTGGACTGCTGCAAGCAAACATCTGGAACAAAAGTTGCCTACGGCAAGCGCCTACCACAAACCAGCGCGTCAAAATGCCTACGGGGAGCTTACGTCCACAAGCAGAATGCCTATGCCAGACTTTTGAACAGTTTTCGTGATGTCAATGTTTGTGTAAATTCCTGTCATCTCAATTATACAAGCATAGACCCCAAACAGCTTCAAAACGATTCGTTTAGACCAATATTAGTCAATAATCGATTTCTTGGCACGCCGGGTGGAACCAAATGTCTTCCTCTTGAACCAGGTCGGCTGAGCGATGGTTTTTGGACTCTACACTCCCAGGTTTCCAACATGGTTTTGAAGGTGCAACAAAAGTTTAAAGAGTAGCCACTCAGCGAGTAAGGATGTATAATGATCTATGATCTATATTACTATCTATATACTGTATATATCTGTATATTATATAGCCACCACCTACTGATCCCTGTGGAGAACCCTCATCTCACCCCCTTTGACCCCCTTTTCACGGCTCATCCCAAGCAGATTCCATGCGGCCACAGCTGCTCCACCTCTGCCGAATTGGTCCAGCCCCACCTGAGCAGGCACCGTGGCCGAGGAAGAACCCCACACCGCCGGACAACCTGGTTGAGCCCATCGTTGATCTGCTGTAGATCGCGCCGCGCAGTAGAAATGGCACGGTTGAACATGGGAACTGAGGTTACTGATGCTGTTCAACTTGAAGATGCTGACCCGGTCCCGCCAAATAAAGACCAAACAACTCAAAAACCACCCAGAGACGAAGGTGCCTCTTTTCGTGAGATTACTATGAGTTGAGGAGATGGTCGGGTATCCACTCAAACGTAGGCTGCCGTTCGCAGTCACCACCCAGTTCCCCGCCTGGTGATCACCGTGTCGAACTCTCCGGTCTTGGCAATAGGCTCCTGGGAGGTGGGGGGATTTGGACCTGATCTACTGGGGGGTTGCCTGGATCTTCTCGAAGATCTTCATCCTAGAGCAAGTTTGGGCACCAAGGTTTGTCCAATCACACAGCTTCAGGGCGTTTCCAAGAACGCGGAGTGCACAAATTCAAACTGTAATCGAAGGCTTATATAAGGCAAGATTAAGATTGCTCGAAGCAGCATAAGCTCCAAAATGGATGCTGCAATCTCAAAGAAGGCTTCGGGCCTTCGGGCTGCTCTGAGAATCATTCAATGTTCTTCAAACATTATATATAAATATAATCGGGGTTGGTATTAAGTGTGTACCTTGGGGGGGTGCGATTTTATAGTGCTAAAATGCTGGGACCAACCCCCCTCCAATGAGGGTCACTTTTTGACCCTATAAAATTGAGGATAACATAGGAAAGAGCCCAAATACAAAGATTCAGCTCTATAGAATTGAGGGCCATTAGTCTGTCAAAAGCTGTTGAAAGTTGTGAATATTAAGGGTTTTTGTCTATAAAACTGCGGGTCCCAAGGTACTCCCGAACAGGTGTTGTCGAGTTGTAATCTGAACCTGGTTCTCTGTTAGTCAAGGGCCATGGGTCTCAAAAAACCTGTTTCTGTATAGAATCAAGGGCCATGGGTCTCAACAAAACATAAAATTCCAATTTCAAAGGAAGGTATTGATTTGCCAGTTGGTAGGACCACAATTCTATAGAGAAGACAGCAGGTGTTATGGAGAGGATTGGAGAGGTAAGGATCTGTGATGATCTCTGATTTTATAGTTCGCACAGCAAATGCCAAAATGGCAAAGCAAATTCTTACAATCCTAAAAAGCCATAGTTCGCACATCTTGTGGATCTTAGTGAAATTGAATGAAATTGAAATGTATTGCATTAGGATGCATTAAGATTTTTCAAAGTGTTTCAATGTATTTCATACAAGGCGTTCCCTTGCTAGGATGCTCCAAATTTGCTAGCGTCATCATGCGTCATCCTGACTCATTCAAGAACCCATTCCCCAGGGTTCTTTTGAGCAATCCCAATTGGAATCAAGCCAAGAAAAAGCAATCTCTATAGAATTGCGGGTCATGACATCCAAAATCATAGAAATCATTCCCTATAGAATCGGTATGCCCCAGTCATCCAAAATCCCTTCACTATACTTACAAGCCTCATCAAGCCTCTATAGAATCAAGCTTGTAAAAAACAACAATTCTCTATAAAATCGAGGCTCTTGAAGGACAGGACTTTACAAGCTCCATATGAGCCAAGAAAAACTTGCTAAAAAAATGGTCTTTTCGGGGACCCAACCCCCGCGATTCTATAGAGGAAATTCCATCCCCTATTAAATATATATATATATAACTTTTTGAACCTTTCCGAACTCTTCAAACTTCTGAAGACTTGGATGCCATCACCGCCCCATTTGGCCCACGCCGGCCAGACGCCCCGACCGCGTCTTCAGCAGCTCCTGACGGGAGAAGGTGAAGTCGTTGGCTGCGGGCAAACCGATGGACTGCCATCTCTGATCCTGTAGACTCACTGCGGCGGGGCCGGTGGAGGAAGTGCCGCCGGGCGTGTTGGTGCTGCTAAGACTCAGGTTGGTGAAATGGCTCCAGCTAGTAGGAGTCTCCGGAAAATGACAACGAGAGAATTCCTTGTTCTGCCTTGATGCTTGGGATGGTGGGGCCACAGGCGGCCACAGGAATCCAGTGGTCAACTGAGAGGGCACCAGTGGCACAAGTCGTTCAATTTGGCAAACGCATCCTGCCATCAAACAGTCCGATGCAGAACTTCCCATTTTTGTGGACCACCACCTTCAGTGGTGTATCACTCAGCACTGTGGTTGTTCAGGTGTATCACTCTCTGAGTGTCCACTTTGATATGCAAAACATCGGGGAACAAAAAAAAGCACCGATCGCCTGTTGGGACATGTTCTGACCTTTGGTGCGGTGCCATTCCAACATCAGAACATCAATGGGACGTCTATGGTGTCGAAGTTCCAGGTCCTCAGCACGACTCCGGCTCTTGATGAATCTAGACTCTTGATTCATTCACCTCCCTAGACATGGATTGCTCTTCATTTTGAGGGGTGATTGATTCATTCAGAGTCATGAATTCCCCGCCGAGAACGCGTTGCATCTGGCTCTCCTGAGGGTTCAAGATCTCGCACTGGACCTCACCTAGGAGGGGGCGGTGGCTCACAGGCCAAGCCAACTGGAAGCTCGTGAGACAAGAGTCTCCGCTTGATGAACTATGGTTGTTCAAGGGATATGCGTAGCAAGTCTAAGCCTGAACAATTCCGCCACCTTGCAGCCAGTCCTGTCTTTGAGGGTTTCTCGCAAATGATTGCCCCTTCCCCGTACAATCTCTTCGTTTTCGAAGCTTTGAGAGGTGAGGTGGGATCAGGAACATGGTGGCTCATTGAACCCTCCAAACTCACCAAACCCAGTCGAAACTCCACATGTTGCTTTGCCCAGTCACTGATGGTGTACACCGTCTTGAGGCCAGGAAAGCTCAAAGAGAATTCCACCTCGCGGAAAGGAAGAAGCGTCTGGCAAGATCTAGGAGAGCAAGCAAAAGGACTAGGCTCGACTAGACTCAAAACTGGCAGGCCTTTTCTGAGGAGAATCCATTTCAATGGGAGCGCGTGCTTTCTAGTGCTCGACTTTCAAACAAGCGACGTTCTAACATGTTGGAGTTGCAAAATTGGAAGGCATCGCAACATGAAAAGATACCCGTTGCCATCTTGTCTGCCCCACATAGCTTGACCGGTCAACCCGCCCTCGAACCTAACCGCCCACGGTCGCCCCGCCCCACCAAACCGTGCAAAGCGTGCGGCCTCCTCCCGCGTCTCTAGCAAGTAGATATGCAAGGTCTCTTGCTGCTGTTGTGCCGAAATGCCCAGCCGCAGGAAGAGCGCCTGACTGGGCACCCCATGGATCGGAACGCGAGGCGCCGACCGTGGAGGTTGGATTCTGGCTGGACTGTCCTACCGGCGGTCCAGCCGCCGGTCCAGCTGCCAAACTTCTCTTGCTCCGGAGTGATTTCTTTCCCTTGAAGTTCAATCATCCTAGCCGTTGCGCCGTTGCATGTGTGGCACCTGCCCCACTCCTCAAGTTCACAAAAATCGAGCCGGGCTGAGCTCTTCAAAATGAACAAGCCATAAGAAACTCCCTGCCTGGAATCATGGAAGTGGGGTCCCGAGGTTCGGATGACCAGGTTCAATCCGAATATCAAAACAGGTGCTTTTCACTCCACTGTCACCATGATTATTTCAAGGAGCGGAACCCGTGTTTCATGCTTGGAAGGAGGCCCCCCCAAACACTTCTGCATATTTCTTCATCTGAAAGAGGTTTTACCATGCAAATGGTGTGGTTTTTCAAAATCAAGAGTTATAGGATCCTTACATGGATATGTATCCTAATCCCTGTGAACCGTGGATGATGCTGGTTCAGTTGCCGACCGAAATCTCGAAAACATAGTTTCTCTTGCTGGTTTACCGGCTGTTACAGCTTCTTCTGGGACACCCCCAACAGTATAACCGTCTCTTGAACCGACCCCATCCACCCCATCCACCCCACCCGCGGGCCCCCTGCCTCGGCCACAGCTTCATTCCAGGTCTGCAGCGAGCGCATGCGCATCGACAAGGTCCGGAGCTTCCGGAAGTTCTGCGTCCGCCCTGGCCACGCGGATCGGTGCGGGTGGGAAGGACCGGCCAGGCAGCTGTTTGGGGCATCTATGTTTCACCAATTGGCTTGGCAAGCACCCTGAAAGGGCTGGAAAGATTGGTAAAATCCGAGGCTTGGTCTCTAGACTCTCATGAGATTTCCCTCATGCAGCTCTGACATCGTCCTGACAATGTTGCGCTCTCTCTCTCTCTCTCTCTCTGACATCCTGCACGATTATGGATCCAATGATCCGTCAATAGGTCTGTCATGTCCGCCCTGGAGCCTCTCTGCTGCTTGGTCTTGATGACCAATACATGCCTGAGTCTTTCTCATGGGCCGCGCCGCAACAAAAGCACGCTTGACCCTCCCCTCCCGCAGGGCGCACGTGGCACTCACCTGGTAATTGGAGAATAAATCTCTGAAAAAAAGAACTCATGCAGGACCATCTGCAACGTCTGCAGGGTTGCTAGAGAGGGCAGGCAAATGACCATCTCAAACATCCATTCTACTGAGGCTGCTTTTCCCAGCATCTGGTTGTATATGGTCACCTCTGATGGCTACCCTTCAGCCTCAGACCCTTCAACAGCTTTCGGCATGCAGATCAGCCCAAGGAACTTCTCGTTGAAGACATTCGCTTCCAGCCAAACCTTGACAATGCTCACCTTGGATGACAGGAGCACGTACTAACGCAGGATCGCGCTGATCGAGCACGACGCCCGTGGTCCGTTCGGCCCATAGAAAAAAAAAACTAGAAAAAACATATTCGGTCATATTCGTTTGGTATATTCTAGTTCATGTCCGAGACCTGTGGTACAATTGAAAGAAGGAACAGGTAGCAATATACTAACTACTTGTTGTTGGCTATGAGTCATGGCACCTCCCTCACCAAACCATGGTACGAACGACGCGGGGAATCTGTTCGTTTGCCCCGGGGTCCACCAGGGTGCCCGGGCGCGGGCGCCAAGGACGGTGCCGGGTCACTGCCCGGGCCCATGGCCAGGGCAGGCGGTGTCCGGTCAGATTCGAAGGTACACTCCGAGGTTGAAGAACCCTAGAGGCTATCCCAGTTCGGTACCCTGGTAGGGTCGTAGTTCAGGTCACTTAACCTCTGTTGGCTCTTGAATATATCCCTTGTCTCTTGATATAGTAAGGCCCCCACAAGTTTTCACACATTGAAAGGGTGTTCCATTTCACCGGTCTGATCTCCAACTGCCCGGATCTCTCGAACCAACGCCAGGTCACTCGTCGAACCAACTGGTCCTCTTCCACGTCCACAGTGGACAAACTCTCCTCATAAACCTGCGAGGCAGAGGAGTCTCTGGGCACGTGGGATTTCAATTCGGCCAACGCGTGGTCCATTGGCGGTGATCGATTTGCTTCATATTTTGGGGTCTGGTCAGCGCGTGGTGGCTTGGATCACTTGCATATGGGTTAGTATGCAGATTCACCAAGGGAGGCGTTGAACAACCATGCACCTCATGGCAACTCCATTGTCACTCCACCAATGCAATCCGAGCTCGGCCTCCGTGTAGAGCTCAGCGAAACTTTGCCAGGTGAACTCAGAGATATCGATGCCTAGCGGAGAGATCCAGGCATGGACGCATGCCGGAGGGGGGAAGAGTGTTTGCGGCTGTTTCATCATTGAAAGCCCAGGGGACGGCGGCACAAGACTAATTGCCAATGGCACATGTGTGTATATATATATATATTTGATCTTGCACCCTAAAGCATCCAAAAGCGCACCGTGTTTCTGCAGGAGCTGCATCAAGTCGTCCTCCTTGCTATTCAAGACCTAAGTGAAGGAGCGGTGTCTAGTTTCCACTAGCCACATGGGGTATGGGTCCTGGGATTCGCCAAAGTCATATATGCATCCTGCATCCATCCCAAGAAAAGCAACAACTAATTAGTTACCCCATATGCCCTAGACTGCATTCCTTACGTACCGTATTCTGCTTGTGGTTCTATATTGGTTCTCGATGGTGTGGATGTCCCAGTGATCCTATTGAGATGTGTGAGAGAGAGGGGGTGGCAATCCCCGAGTGATAAAGATTTACATTGTGTCTTGTTGTGTCTTGAGCCTTCCACGCTTGCGTGGATGCTATTGAACAAGGCCTTTTCATTAGGGTTTAGGCGGTTTAGGGTTTAGGGTTGGTGCCATCACAGCACCCCCGCCGTCGCCACTTCACCCACCCGCGCCCGCACGCGAACGTGGCACCCGGCCGGAGACCAAACCCACCTGGAACGATGGCTCCAAGCGAGTGGATGGAGATGCCGGAAAAGGAGAGGTGCAGTTCTTGCTCTAAAATCAAACCCCATCCGATGGGGCAGTTCCAGAAAAAGATCGGCATCGTTCATTTTCCGGAAAAAGGCCTGAATGTGCCCGCAACTGCTAGGAGGTTTTTGTAAACTATTCTGGCCTCCTGAGAAGCGCCGGGGGTATATACTCTAAGTGGTTGATCAACCTCTGGTTTGCTTTGCGTTGAACGATGGGGATGCAGGTGCGGACTCTCCATCCATGTTTGACGCCCGTCAATCAAGTACGACCCATCAAGGCACCAGCCCCCCCCGTTGCCCAGCAGATCCCTCAAGAGCACATCTGAACACCAGATCAGCACAAGGAGGAGTGTATCTACAGAAAAAAACGACGCTCATGTTCAGCACCAAGTGCCCCCAACTTCCGAATCCCACCTCAACCTCTACTCTTCCCCCCAAACCAGGAAGCTCGCCACCGCTATCCGCCGCTATCCAGAAGCCAGGCCACTTCATCTTCCCATCCTGCGTGGTAAAGTCCTGTGGAGTCAGCCGGAGTGGAGTGAGGGGAGGCGCGCGGCGCAGGAGAAGGAGCGATGAAACCTGAAGAAAGGCGCAGGGAGAGAGGAGGACAAAGATGGAGAGGCTGGGCCTTGTAATGACAAAGCATTCAATGTGGCATTGGCATTGGTTCTTCCTTTCAGCGCCCGCCGGGAGCCCGTGGGCGATCCAAGAAGCCTCCCGACCGTTCCCTTGGGCGTGTTCGGCCGTGTTCGGTCGTCCTTGCCGTCGGGCAAGCCCAAGGTTTGCAGCTCCGACCGTGTTCGGTCCTGACGGGGACAGGCACGGGGGCCCTTAGGGTGTCAAGCTGGGGCTGAAAACTTAAAGGAGAGTAGTCAGCAGCAGGGTGAATCTCTAGGCCAACTCCTGACTGTTGCCGGATGCCCCAGCTAAACCCCACACGGGTCCTTGACTGTCAGGAAAACGATGTGGGTCTTGTAGGTGCTTAAAATGTCGGGCACCGTCTCAGAGTCCGCGCTATACTCCTCGTACTTGTATGCCTCATCTGGACCGTCTACAGCTGCAGCGGAGGCAGATATGGTGGCCCTCAGAGTGAATAGGATCGTCTGATGCACACCCTGAGCATGAAGAAGCCTCACCTGTGACTCCGTTGCCTAAAACGGAAAGGTTTTGCAAGGGTTCCGACAGCCAACAGTCTCAGCGCGTTTGGTGGTCTTTTCTTTTGCGCGTGGCCGGTGGCTTTCCTTCACTCACTCATGCTCCTTCTCCTTCTGCGCCAGCACTCGCTCCGCCTGGAATGGAGGCAGCGTAGATGATCGGCATGTGTTCACCAAGGTCACTGACCCTACTTGATATGTGGACGCAAGGAAGCAAGGATCTTGTTACTCGCTCAATTTGGGCAGCAAACGCTTCGCACGCTTGGCAAACAGCCCTCACAAGGGGGATCCTTGAAGTTGCCTGGTCCATGTGGTGAGGCCAACTTGAAAGTCTTGCACCTTGATGATCTTGATGTTTGAACTCTTGGATTGGTCTTTACAGAGTTTGCCCGTCAGCCTGCAACAAATTCTATATATATATACACTCCGACTCGCTAACATGGAAGTGGAAAATGATCCCTTGGAAGACTACGTTCCTTTGCGAACAGGAGCTTTTCCACTTCCATGTTAGTGAGTCGGAGTGTATAGGATGGCTCCTCTTCTCAAAAATTGATGGGCACGGCCACGTGGAGAACAGCATCTCCCTCACCACATCCATGCTGCCTGCACGATGCTACCCACTAGCACAGACAGCATATACCGATATATACCCTGTTTCAACCCTGGTGTTACCCAATGCCAACCACACCAAAGCCAAGCCACCTCAGCATCCACCCCCAAAAACAACAAAAAGTGGGCGTGGGTCAGAATACAAGCACCCAAATTTGTTCGAGTCTGTTCTGTTCACTGTAGGATGATCATATCCGACACCAGGAGGCCCCCCCCCATCCGACACCAGGAGTTTGCAGTCCAAGCGTCTTTTCTTGCCTTGAGGTGCACTCCACTTGTTTGAGCCAACCATACCCAAAGGGCACAACATCCCAACAGAACAAGGCTCTACCCCCAGACCCAGACCCCCAGAGTTAAACGAACACCCCCCGCGGCACCCGGAAAACACCGCCTTTTCGAGCAGCTCGTTCAGACCTTCCTGGCTATTGAGCTCTGCAAGCTCTAAGGGCACCTGGCAGTCCGAGATCGACGGGATTCGCCACAAAAGCATGGTTTTCATGAGAAAGTCTCAGGAATGTCTTGGATAATCTTGGATGTGTATTACTCCACGAAGCTGGGCCCACAAGGCGTGATGTGATGAGAGAACACATCGAAACAAGATTGATGTGCCACACTCAAAACAAGATTGACCCCGGCGGGTACTTTTGGTTGGAGTGAGACGGTCCAAAGACACAAACGTACAAGAGGGGCCTCTATGGTTACATGCAGCAAGAGATGCAGCTGGCACTACAAAACTGTTGTGGCGGGAAGGGGCAGTAGGAACATTCTCGAGCAGCCATGTTTTAACCTGGCCACATGGTAGACACGAGTGAGTTGACCTATCTTGACCCGACCCGATCCAGCATAATTACCCGGTCCCCCACCTGATGGAAGCTCTCAAGCTTGCCATGACACTCGCTTTGATCCCTCACGACCCGCAGCACCGGGTCCTCCTCCTCCTCTCGGCTCGCTCGCAGCTCTGCTCGCAGCTCCGACCAGTCGAACAACAAGGGCTCCGTGGTGGGACCCCAGGGGGAGAAGTCCACCAACCAAACCTTGCGCCGCGGAGGGATGTCCACATAGAGATCCATCACATAGCGACGGAGAGGAAACCTCCCACGCACCTGAAGGGGGCGTTCCGAGTCAGGCATGTTTCTGTACACTCCCCGAAACTAACATGGAAGCAGGTGGTGAACTCCACGTAACCACGTTAGTTCCAGAGAAAGTACGGTTCCCACTGGGTGGAGTGGACAGGTGCCTTTTGGGGGGGAGGTCAACAGAAGCTCTCAGTCTCTTTCTTCCCATGTGGCTGGAACATGCTGGAACCGCACATGTCAAGCACGTGTTTGACTGAATCAGATCTCCTGATCTCATTGTTTGACCGTTTCTGGAGGTTTCATTTTGAATAGTTTTCAGGGCTCTAGCTCTTGGCTTCAAGATGGTCCCGCAACCTTCCACACTGCGCCTTCTCCTCGAAAAAGTTCCGGATGGCAGTCTTGATTTCTTCGACCTCATCTTCCTTCAACAAATGCTCGAAGAATCCTGAGGTTTGTCGCTGCGAGATTGCCATCAAGCGCCCATCTCGGATGAAGGTCCTGAACCTTGGCCAAGCAAAGTGAGAAGGGTGTGGTTTCGTGGGGCCATTCCGATCCACCTGCGTTTGCTTTTCTGCTTTTCTCCAGGGTCACTTCATGCATGAATGCCCACTGCAACCCCCTACGTCATGGTGTTCGATGGTCTTCTGAAAAATGAGTGCTTGCAATCCTCAATCCTCAAGGACCTCCTTGCTAGGAGGGGACCTTGTTTCAAGGGCCATCCCGCATCCCATCAAGTCAAGAGACATGCTCCATGCTTCCAACATACCCTCTTACTGCGATCCGCGCGTTACCGCGATCGGTTGATTTGGAGGTGCAGGATCCCACAGAACCCCCCCAGAACCGGTCCAGCAAGGTCGAAGGGGCTCACTCGACTCGTAGAGTGAATGCCAGCGCCTCAAAATCAGGCTGAAGCTCTCCGGCCGTGTCCTATCAGGGACGTGCGGACGTGAGAAACCTGTTGCATCGAACAACGATGACCTCATGCATCGTAATGTGGAACTCCAAAACCACCTCCACTTCTTCGTGTAGTGTACTACGGCGTCAACCGTGCACATGCTTGCTGGCTGACTCATCCCTAAACATCACCCGCACTGCCCTGCTCGTCCAACGAATGATGGAACAACCGGCTGGTCATAAGATGTCATATATAAGTCATATGAATTCGCTCCGGGAGCAGCTGCAATGGTCGAAGGCGTTGCAAAGGTCGTGCGAGATGAAGTCGGACGCTTTGAGAACCGTGAAGACCTGAGTGGTGTAGGGCGAGTCGTCGGTCGCTGAGGTATCGCAGGCGGATGGTGTCTGGGTGGTGTAGAGGTCTAACCGAAGACTTCAACGGAGAGTGAAGAAGGGCGCGGCCAGAAGCTCACGTAATACCCATACCAGTGAAACAACACATGATCATACATGATCACAGCCTGAGACACTTGTTCACAGCTATCAGCTACCCTACCAAAAGGTTGTTCATATTTGAAAACACTTCCACTTGGACCCTACTTGGCATCTGGTCTTCATCTTTGCACCCTCTGTCATCACTCGCACAGCAGGCTGCAGCTCAAAGGCTTCTGAGGGGTTGCAGCACTTCAGAGTTCCATGGATCCATCGTGCATCCTTGGGAGCACTCCAGTTCAGCTTCGGCAGCACCTGCGTGTGACGTTGGGGCAGAGAAAGGTCCTACAAGGTCAAGAGGAAGTGCACCACACGAGTGATTCTAAGTGGAATCCGTAGGATTCCCACTTCAAACACGATATATCATCTATCTTGGGTCTACCCTATTACCTGTAACAGTGGACGATGATGGTTAGTAGAGGCCTTGTCCCAAAGTAGTGATTATTGTTTACTCGACAGACCCAACATATATCATATTCTGGCGGATTGCCAATGGCCAAGACGTGCCCCATGATCCCACACATGCGTTCACACGGAGTCTCCCCCACAGATCTCTCCGCACACCGGAAAGCTTCCGCTCCGCACGCCGGCCATCGCCGCACCTGGCCGTTCAGCCGTTGGATGGCCGACCGGACCTGCTCTTCGAGAGCTGGGAAGTCGAAACTTCCGCTGGGATCCTCGTCGGAGTCACCCCCCGAGCCCCAGCTGCCGTTGCTGGCCGCGTCGTCGGGCCGCGGCCGGCTTGCGTGGCTGGGGACATGGATGCCTGGCAGAGGGGGCTTGGGAGTGAGTCTTCTGCTCGTAGGGCACTCCGGTGGTAGCCAGGCTCGGCCAATGAGAGGACATATCAGAACCATTCAAAACCTCCCCACCCGGCATACGAAAGTCCCGAACATCGGGCAGCGAAGTTGGAGGTATCAGTAGGTGGGGGGCTGTCCTGCCCCGGGTGGGGTTGAAGGTGTGTCTAGACCCTTCACAAACTTCATGCCACTGATGCCAGCAACAAATAGTCTTAACAAAAGGTGCTGGAAACTGGAAAGCCTTCAATTTCCTTGGCCTTTCAAAAAGAAAGTTGAGCCAGAAGGGCCATCCGCCAGCAGGTAGCGGACAAAGTCTTCTGGCAAAGGGATGATCTCGCTTTTAAAGGTGCAATCTTTGAACCTCGTGCGCTGCGCTGCGTGCAACAACCACTGGTGTGAAGAGCACCCCTTGAATCCTTGAAGTCAGCACGGCCTCCTTTCAGCCAAGGAGCAAGTGGAACCAAGACCTTAGACTTAGACATGAAGCGACTGCGGCTTCAAAAACATAGGAAAAAAACAAAGGATGCCATGAGACAATTCAACCCGGGAGGTGTTCCCACATGCAGTGGGAATTGATGCCAGAGGTCTCAAGAAAAGGGATCCACCTGGACCCACCAGAAGACATAAGGATCAGCATGGATCAGCTGTAAAAATAACGTGTTGTGATGATTCAGTTATAGCATGGTTCAGCATGGTTATTTATTACATTTTATGGGGCCCAAATCCCTCTTGCACAAAACACCACGATCACGACTGGCTCCCCTTGAAACAGATTACCTTCCTGCACGAGATGCTTCGTAGGAACCTCTACTAAAGGTAATCAGTTGTTAATTAACAGTCCTGGTATATACTGTGCCGATTGTGGCCTTACATGGCCTTACTCACTGATCATGGGACTTCACTAGGTGTACAAGGGCGTATGAGCTTGCAGCATCACAGGACCAAAATTGCCTCCCACGAAAAGCCTCAACACCTGAAACGTTCACTCCTCGGCCAGGAGGCTCAAAGGAACAAGCAAGGACCTCCTCTTCCTCCATCGACTCGTCCGGCTCGACGAGGGGCACATCCACCGCCATGGCGACGCGAGTCACAACGGGACCCCGTTCGTGCGGTGTAAGAATCACAGATGACTTAACCCCTAGAGTCGTCCCAGTCAGACTCTATGTTGACCGACTGCGGAAGAAAGAAAAACATTGGAAAATCCTAAACCTCGGGTCACCGTTCGCCAGACCCTTCTTTTTATCGTCATTGATTCCCAGGGTAACGTCTCAGGCTGCGCATGTCGACTGGGAAAGCTCTCTCAGCCTTCTGCTGACCGTAGTCTTGTGCCAAATGAGCACAAGTCTCGCATCACCTGCGATCACATCTTGTTCGAATGCTTTTGAGTCTGCACAAGTCCTCCCTTTTAAGGTGCGAAACCTCCTCCGTGTTCCTCATGAAACCCGTGCTGGGATCTGCTGTGTTTCGTGCTCCGAACGGCAGGTGAGACAGAACGGAGATGCGAACGACGCTCCGGCGCGTCGGGCCGTCCACAAGCCCCAGGTCCTAAAGTCAGGCCCCTCGTCCTCCTGATCGGTGGAGTGGCCAGTCTTGCAATGGTGCAGTTTTGTGCCAGCCAAAGGCCACCAATGTCCAACAAAAAAAGCTCCGCGGCCCAATTTGAGCCGCGGATAGTTCTTTGGAACAAGCCTGTGAGGTAGTTTCTAGTGATCCTACCAACATAGGGGTATCGAAGATGGAAAGACACTGCACGACTGCGCGAACTCGTGCAGCGCCAAGATGCATCGGTGGCGATATAGAAGAGGCTGGATTGGACCTCTGTCTGTTGCTGGCCACCAGTGGTTGTTCTTGAGCATCCAAAGGATTTAAAAACACACACACCTGTAATCACCGGTGCTATCAGTTTAGCATCATTTGTTCTTTCCAACTGTTCTTAAGACTTCTTAACCAAAAATTTTTCATGAATGAATGCTAAAGAGTCTCTTTCACAGGAAGCCGCCGCGGCCTTTCTTTGCTGTCCTCGCTGTTCACAAGGTTGGTTAAGCATGATTTACTTGAATGTGTCCTTATCTTGCTGTCATCCTGAGGCTTCCACACCACACACCCCAAGAAGAAAAGCATGAACCTAATTAAGAATTTGATAATATTGGATACATCTTGGGTTACATAATCCCACAAACCCAACACCCGTAGGTAGATGAGGGGGATGAGGATCGGCTTTGAGGATGATGACGATGCTGATGGGGCTTGCGAATAAACAAACAGCTCTACTACGCAGTGCTGGGAATGGGACTGTCAAACCCAGAACCTATCATTCCTCATCACAAAATCCGCCATGTTGGAAACCGGAGTGTGGAGGGCGGTACTTCCTTGCCTCTTTTGTCCCGAGTTGTTGCGTGCGTTGGCCCATTTCCGGCCTCCGGCGCAATACCGAACTTGGTCTCGAAGCAGCGAGAAAGCGCCTCGCATCAACGTTTTCCAACTGAAAAGTGCACGCTCTTCTCCCCTTGCAGTTACCCCCCCCAAGATAGATTCTCCTCCCATCTCAGCCCAACGCTGTCACTCCCTAAGCCTGCACGTGACCTGAGGCTGGGACTGCTCTCCAGTTCCCCTGGTCTTGCAGTCGCATGACCTCAAGCCGAAAGCCGAGCGATCTAAACTGGCAACTGCGGACATCCCAGCTGGAAAAAACGCGCAGACCGGCGCGAGCGGCGTTCCATGAGGCGCCCAAGATCCTTCGGAACCAGATCCCTGGAACAATGCCGTTGGAAACCAGCTGTCGCACCCTGCGAAGGTCGTCACCCACCTCTTGGCCTCTTGGGTCCTCACCATGGCTAGGAGCTGCTTCCGCTCCCGTTGTCGCCCCTCTTCAGTCATCCTGGCCGCATCGTCCCGGCTGCAGCCCAAGGAAACGAAAACCACGCACCGAAACGTCGGAAGATGGCTGGTCGGCTCTGTGTCCTCCGCTTCCAACCACCATTGATTGAATGGCCTTTACCGAACAACCATGGTTTTACAGTACCAAGATTTTACACTACACCTGGTCAACCGTTCGTTTAATGATTTAATGGTCTTGGAAGGCTAGGGTTCGCACATTCTTTGCACATGGGACAGGCTGGGGTAAGGTAGCCAGGTGGTTCTAGAGTTGTGGTCTCTGCATTCATATGCATTCATTCTCAATGTAGGGGATTTGGTGCAGAATTCATCTCTTGAGGCATCTGTGGAAAAAGTGTGCCTGCCCATTTTAAAGGCGGTGTTCAGTTCCTTACTGTGGGTTGGTGAGCATGCCCTGTCGTATGTATTCACTCAAAAAGTGAACGTTCAATTTTGTGGGGGGGGTTTCATGAAGGAGGCTGCTAATTCATGAATGAATTACTGTGGCATGAATTGTCAAAAGACCGTGCGTATGCCTCTTAGAAACTGCTTTGCATGCACAAGACACCGTTTCTTGCTGGCTCCATCTAAGTACACCAGGTTATTGAGCTCAGCTTTCAACGGTTGGAATGGCTGAATATGAAGGAAGTGGGGGCCCGCATGAAACCCAGTTCAATATATATATATATATATTATAGAACTCTAGATTCGTTAAGACACCTGAGCACTGAGCAGTGCCGGCAATCTCTTCTTGCCCTGAACAACTGTCCCAAAGCACCCGCCGATTGAACACTTGAGGACTGCGTGACTACCAGGCAAAACAGGCAAATTTGCCAGATTGCATGAAATATCCAGATTGGACACTCAACTCTCCCCAATCCTCTAGCAGACTCTAGCATTGGCTTTCTTCCCCGTTGAAACTCTCATCACCCTGCTTCGACCGGCGTTTTTTTATGATCTTCGCTCTTGAACGCCCCATCACCCGCTGTTTGATCACGCCACGTCCCACCCCATGTCACCCCAGCTGGCCACCCGCCGAGAAAACCGCAGCCCCTGTGCAGCCCTGGGCGTCCCCCACTCGCTATCGATCTTCAACTCCCTCAACTTGCCCTCCTTATTCCGGAAGCCTCGGAACATGAGGTGGAAATGAGATCTTTGCGGGCCCGTGGGTCTCCATGTTTTGGTCCAGATTTCGGGTCAACAGGGTAGGGCACATCGTACACATGGACTCCACCATGGTGAACATGGACTCAGTTGGAGTTGTCCTGTACCAACCAGGGACCAGTGGTAACATCGTACACACCGTAAAAAGACTCTTGAGCGCGATGCCCTGCGATGGATTAGTCCAAAGTGGGGCTTGTAAGGTTCCCAATTCGCAACCAACCTTGGCCGAGCTGCTTCGCTGTTTGTTAATACCCTCATTCGACCCATCCCATCACCGAACCCATCCCATCACTCTGAGCAGCGCAAGTGGATACGTACCAGCTCAACAAAGCGCTGCAGTCGTGAACCCTTCAGCTCCAAAAAGCACCTCGGCCGTGTGTCGTTGGACTGTGTCGTTGGACGGAGGGCGGGCGAAGAAGGGTCATGTCAAGGGTCACAAGTTGGGGAGGAGCAGTGCTGCTGAGTTCATTTGGAGTTGCTCAGTTCTGAGGAATCTGGCAAACGGTTGAGCACAACAAGGGGGGATATGTACGGCTAAGATGGGCCAAGCCATGATCTTTCAGGCCTGAAAACCCCATGTGCAAGTGTAGACCAGGTGATACTGCGGCCAAAAATGGTTCCAGCGGACGCGGTGCTTTGCCGTTTTCGTGGGGCCTGTGATGACCAAATTGCGGCACAAAGCAATATAATGATAAGTGGTGCAAAGGGAACTGCCAAAGGTAGGTCCTCCCACCACCAAGTTTGGAACGCATCGATGCATCGAAGCGATGGGTCAAGGGTCGCGACCTTCGGCACGCATTGCGTGGACCAAGATGTACCGTCCAAGAACGGCCGTCCCCATGGATTGGACGGATGCTTTCTTTCTTCCGGCCGCCTGGCCGCCTTACGTTTCGTCGCATGTGTCATCTTCGTCGGTCCATCGTCCAGATGAGCCTTCCAGAAAGAAGAGTTCAAGGACATGACCTCTTCACGCCGAACCATGGCTCTTCCGTGGTCCACTTCTCGTCACGCCCGCGTGAATTGGGGCAGGCCATCCGTGTCCCAAGAAAAGCCCGTCCCCCGCCGTGATCCCCGATAGAAGTCCTCCAAGCGGCTTTTCCTCTCTCACGACGGCGGTGTAGAAGTGGTGTAAGGACTTGGCAGTGCCCTGTGCCGCCACAGGACGTACAGCCGGAGTTTGTTTGGAGCCGCGGGGGTTTGTGTATTTTCTGGGTCGAGCCGTTGGAAGGTGAGGGGGTGGGCCGTGGGTTTAAGGTGCTCGGTTCAAAGCTTGATTGATCGTTCAACAGATCTGAAGATCGTGTTCGCTCGCAAACCGGTCGTTTTGCCTGTTTCGAATGATCTGGGAGTGAATGATCCAACCGGGTTCCACCGGAACAGTTTTGGCGCCGTCCTTCACTCCCGAAGCACTACATGATGCTACATAAGTGAACCCAAGCGCTCCCACAGAGCGGGAATGCGGACTTAGTGGTGATGGGAGTCCGCTTCTGGCTTTCAGAAGAGATCACAAGAGCTACAGAGGTTCAAACGAACACTGATTCTATAATAGATTCTATGATTCGCTATATAATGCTGCGTGGAGCTGTTTGAACGCTGAACAATTTGGGCCATTCCGAAGACCGGAAATCATGAGAAGCTCTGTGTTCAAACAAGAATTTCCTCTCTTCCTCTGTGCATCTGCCCACTGAAGAGGTTACATATCTGCCCATCCTCCCTCCACATCACGACCAGTAAGGCAAACAGGTCTAGGACGAGACAAGTCACCTTACACTCGGAACTAACAGATCCTTTTCCGTTGACTTCCATGTTCGTTCCAGCCAGAGTCAACTGACTAAACATCCTTAAACAATCATTACAAGCAGTTCACCGCCTACTTGGCCAATTCATGGAGCCGCGTGTGTCGTTCCCTCAAGAGAGGAACCATTCCTCCTTTGGGGTCCCGGTCCCGACACCGACACCTGCTCAAAGGGTCCAACGGTTCGGTTCATGCCATCAACGATACACCAACTGAGGAGTCTATATTATGTGTTTGTATGTATTAGGCGCCGGACTCGTGGAAGGATCAACTCTGAAACCGCGGCAAACGGTTTTGCTCTTCTATTGGAGCTTCTTCGGACCCTGCCGCCCCGCGTCTGGCCGGCATCTTCCCTCTTTCTGACAGAGATGAATCAACTTGGGAAGCTGGGGACAGTGATTGACCAAAACCACGGCTGGCCTTGCCAAACTTGGACAAGTTCACGCGGTGGTTCTGCAGGAGTTCCTTGAACTCTTCAAATGACCTGGGGCACCGGGCAGGAGACCGAGACCGTCCGTTCCCGAGACCCTTTACGAGACCGATGCGGGCACCCGATGCGGCACGAGACGTCCGAACTGAGGGAAGCGACAGGAAAACGGTGACGTCCTTAGAAAGTGTTATTAGTCATGTGTATATATATATATATTATATTATATATATATAATATACACTAATACACACTAGTTATAGCCACATTTATCCATGCACGAGAGGAATGTGTTGTTTCCTCCTCCGCGCCTGAGAAGTGCCGTTGACTCATCGCTTTCTCCATTCACTTGGCGCCCACCGGTTCCCCCGAAGAAACCCTCTCGCCACTGCTGCGAACCCACCGGGGTTCACCGTGCGGACCAAAGAGAGATGATTCAGATCATCTCTGAGGAGGCCACTGGCCAAGCCACTGCGTGTTCTATCATATCCAATGGTTGTTTAGAAAAGCATGTGGCAAAACAACCCGGTTGTTAGTTCAAGGATGTTCATGCAAGGCGTTGCTCCAACTTGCCAAAGGCGTTGCGGCGCAAAAAAAACACCAAAGAGATCAGTTGCGAATGCTTTGAATGGATTCCAAGCTATGGATAGCTATGGTCATCGTGGATGGTGAAGATTCAATGGGCTTCTCAATGTGCTCAAAGCCCCTTCGATATATGACCGCTGTTCATGTGATGCTTCTCCTGGCTCTGTGATTCATTGGGTGAACCTTTACCCCTTCTACGGGCAGCACACTGGAGCAAAAGAGTTTTTAAAAACTCGATGGAAGTCCAAACCAACGGTTTTTACCTGTTTTTACCTGCCGTCTCCCATCCAAAGAGTTTCACGTTTCGAAAGCGAAGAAGCCAAAGCCATCGACTCGATGCTGGAAGGATTCGTCCCAATGTTGGACAAGCAGCATTCTCCTTCCCTTATCCTGGCCACGAGAAACGAAGAAACTAAATCCAATGAACTCCAACGACACATCGTCAAGGACACGGCCACAGTGCATCGAGCTCTTTTTTGTCATGTTGTGTCCGAATGCTCGGAACAACACAAGAAGCTATTTACAAGCCATTTGTAGGTCGAAATGCTTTCTTCATCCGTCCATCAGTTCCGCATCCGTGCTCTGCCGATGTTCTCCCCCATCCGCGCCGATTCCGTGAAAGGAGCGACGACTGACAAACAGCCGGCGCAACGTGGGACCCTAAGGGTCAGATCGAAACCTTCAGATCACCATCCATCTAGATGACGGGCGGAGCTCCCATCCAGCCTGATCACCTTCCAAATCCAGCATGCTTAGGAACGGTCGCGTCGGCGACATCTGTTGGTGTGGGTCGATCACCTGGCCAGGTCGGGGTCCGCCAGGCGCAAAAGGGCGGGCACACAGGGCAGCTAGGGCAGCTAGGGCCTTGTTTGGGGGTGGAAGTTTGGCCCGCAAAAAGAAACTGGTAGCATAGCTAGTGTAGCTTTATTGAATGCCATGCCATGCCTCTCTCTCTTGAACACTTGGCCAGGGTCGACAAAGAAGTCTCGTCCCAGAAGCGGTTGCATCATAGTACCCCCAAAGAACCAAGCACTACTCGAAACTGTTTCGTCTGTCAAAGGGACATGGTCTTCTATTGAATTCACGGTTCTCTGTGGTGATTCCTGTAATCGATGTGCTTCTCCACAACTCGGCCTCTGTAAAAGCATCCAAATAGAATGTATTTTGACCTCAGAGACGAGGCCATACCAGGCCACAGGGAAGCTGAAGCGAGGTGAGGGGAGCTTGCTTAAGTCGTGTCATCAACACGGTTGCCTTGACGTCTTGCCTTTCTTGCCGCATTGTTGGTAGTGCCAGCGGCCCGAGCTACGGCCCGTAGCTCGGTGGCAGTGTGTTTCACGGTTTTCTTCGTAGCTCGGTAGCTTAATATCTCTCCGTACTATCCGTACTATGATGTACTACGATGTACTATGCATGTCGAGGTCAGGAATCGGTCCATCCAAACAGTCCTTTTCATGAAATGAACTGCATGTGCGCGCATTGAAATGAAATACTATTCTCGGTGTCCGAACTTGAAGGCTAAGGTGGGTCACTTATGGGAAGATTGTTTCCTGTCAGGAAGAGCTTGAGAGGGCAGCATCAAGCTTATGCTGTGCGGCTGTGCACTGGTAGGTCCTGATGTATGGTATGCCATTCTATACCGTAGAATGTGTGAGCGGGGATTGCCGTAAATTCATATAAATTCCATTCCGCAAGTCTAGCAGTCTAGCAGCTAGCAAACAGCTCTTACTTCCCCGGAAGCTTCCCTACCCACCCCATCCGGGCACATCCAAACAGAACCAATCACTTAACAAAAAGCACCCACACCCACTCACCGCATCCCGCAATGAAGAACCGCACAGAACCCTGGGCGCTCGGACTCCCAAGGGCCAAGGGTAGAAACCGAAGAGCTGAGAGTTGCTCCTTCGCCTCTGCAGAGACGTGCACCATCCCCTCTTGCCTGCGCCACGCCACGCGACGACGGTGGCACGGCTCCCGTGGGGCACGGAGCCCGTGCTCGCCACCACAAAGCTGAGGATTCTACCTTTGAGGCTCTGTTGTGTGAAGCTATTCGGGCACCAGTTGAGGAATAAAATGTCGAACTTGCTACCAAATAGCTAATGTAGCAGTAGAGCACCGTAGAGGCATCATTTGTTCCAGTGGCACCCACCAACGAGTCTGGAAGTCTGAGTTTGATGGGGATGAGCATTCCGTGAAACTGCTGATAACAGGATGACAAGACTGTTGACACTCATATAAATCATCTCACCGGCTAGGGGGCGATAAAGCAAGACTTCTTCGTGTTTCCTCACTTCAGTTCCAAGCCAAGTGATGACGGTGTTCCACTCCTCGCCCTAGCCGACACTGGAAACAACCACGGCACGGCTGGTTTCTTCGGTGGCTCGGCCTCGAGGTGTCGGCTAACTCGCGAGCACCTGGCTGGGGCAGGGGTGGCATGAGACTGGCTTGCAGGGTGAGTCTCAATGAGTCTCGGGGGTCTCACGGTCTGGCCATGTCGTGAAGGCGGAAGAAACCAAACAAAGAGATTTAAAAAAAAAAAAAAAAATAGAAATCCTGCTGTGTCAAGGAAAACATCATCATCATACATCAACTGCCGCAGACCGTCGGAGAAAAAAAGAAAGCGTCTTTGAGCAGCTTCCCTTTGCTGATGGAACATCTGCAGCACTCCCCTTTGCATCATGCTTTTAAACTTGCCTTTGATGCCCTTCTGAGCAGTGGGGTGGCATGGACCAAGCCAGCAATCTCTTTTCAGTACAGCTTCCACTCCTTGCAGGCCCCTGTAAAAGCTACTCATGGGAGTCACATACTCAATCATACTCACATAACTGGTATATATATATATAATCCCAGTCCCAGTCCCTCGCTTCCCTGTCCCAGTCCCAGTCCCACCCCCACCGTCCCCCCGCAGAACGCCTGCGCAAACAGGTCCAAAATACGCCGATTGATCTGTACCATTCGGCATCGACCTCGTGAGCCGCTTCGACCCCCGCGGAACGTCCCCGGTTCGCGGTCGACCGGAAGGCAGGGCTGGGCGAGCCGGCTCGCCTCGATGGGCCGGGCGGAACGTCGCAGTTCAGCGCCCGGGGGTGGTCTGGTCAGCTGGTTAAGCTGATCTAGGTACTTCCCCCCCAAAACTCAAAGACCGAAGGCTCAGTTAGTTGGAGATAGTTGGAGCAATGTTGGAGTCATAGGACCTCCTGGCACCCACCGGTTTTTTGGACCGCTCTCTATATGTTGATTGTTCGGCTCTTTCAGTCGGTCTGAGGCTCTCGCAGCAAACCCTGAACGCTGTGGAGCACTCCGTAGTCCACCTGGGGATCACATGATGCAAGGCAAATGGGGACATCTCAGAACAAAGTGCTGGGATGTGGTCTGTGCATCTGGCAACTGGCAGCCGTACACTAGTTCTTGTGGCCATCCAAAGCATTGCATGGTTTTAACTCAGTCGCGACCACAACTGTTCCTTCGACCGTCTCAGCCCACGTGAAAACGCCGTCGTCCCATGTACCTTCAAACCTCCGCGCCCCGGCGACCGCCGCTCCGCCCGGTCACGAACTCCTTCGAAACGGTCGAACCGGAGCAGACCCGAGAAGACCTGGGGGCCCCGAACGCCCACGAACATGCCGATGGAGGGAGATTGAGAAAGCGCCCACCTGGCGGAACGGCGGACGGGAGTTGGAACCACCACCACCACCGCGCCACTGGCGCGGTGCCTAGCGGCTGTCGGGGGGAGCTAGGCTGTCGGGGGGAGGGCATGGAATATAGAAAGCACGCCGTGGTCGGAGCGGCAAAACGGCCAGCAGCAGGCTGAAAGACGGATTTAGAGTTTCAATTGTAATTGCTCTATGGATCTCTATGATTGACTCTATTTGCACTAGGTCGTTGCCAACGAAGAAATGGAAGCAGCACGTACCCGGAGTCCGATGGCAAAGTGAGAAAAAACCCACATATAGATTCAAGTGTTGACCGTGCGAACCTCCATGCCTATCAGCCAGAAAAAGAAGAGCAAGTGGGTTGATCGCAACATGCAGTAGCTCCGGATCAGCTGTAGCTCCGGATCAGGGGCACCCGTCCCCCCTCACCCACCCAATGAGCCTGCAAAGGAGCTGGCCCAGTCTAGTCATTGAGTCAGGCCCAGTCCTCAGCCGCCACATTTGGATCATCCAGCATTTGCAGAGCCGGCTCAACTCTTTTCTGCCCGCAGCGAGAAGAGCTGGCTCAAGCCGGAAAAAGCAAAGCAAACCCAGAATCGGCGCTCTGAATGCAAATCAACGTGCCCACCCCAGAAATCCGAAAATGAAACCCTCAGAAGATTCTTTTCTCTACAAACCACTGGTCATCCTCAGGCATTGCGCAAGCTCGCAGCCAGTGGCTCTCTCCCTGGGGCTTCCCACATTCCTGCTTCCTCCACGCCGTTGCCCATGACAAGACCTTGTGGAGGTGGCCAATGAAGGGACAGTCTCAGAGTGGAATTGCAGGGGCAGTAAAGAGTCTAGGACCTAGGAAAAGTTGTGAAAACGCCGTTCTCCGTTTCAGAGGTCATCCGATTGTGGTACTCGTGCGTCTTGCAAGCCCCATCAAGCCCCCATCGCATTCCGATGTGAAAGGAAGAGCGAGCCCAGGATAGCATCGAAGTCTCCCAAATCCTCCCAATGCTGACGGTTGAGATTCGTCAAGCCTTCCTCCCCTGTTGTTATAGGATAATCAGCGTTCATCAAGCATCTTCTGAGGAATAAGCTTTGGACTGCACTTCACCAACTGCACCCAAGGGGCCGCTAGTGGCATCGTCGAAGAGCACCATCGCGCGGAAGACGGTGATGTGGTTTCCAATCTCAGTGAGTTGGGTGCATTGGATGTGCTTTCAGTGGCCTTGTGCGAGGGTGAAGTCTAAAATGGACTGGAGTATGATTGAGTGGTGCTTGCCCGTTGAATGGGCTGAACGCTGGGGTGCCACAAGCTGGCAAAGTGAATAAGGAACAAGAACGTTTGCCTCCGTGTCCCAGTCCCTGACTTCACCCACGCAGCGCGAACACTGCATGTTGAGCCCCGCACTTGCTCGTGCAAGTTCTGCAGTTGCTCCAACTTGATGCTGAACTGGGGGCGAGGGAAGCTTGAATTCATACGTCTTGACAGATATAGAAGATGTCGACATACCACATTCAACACCGTCAGCGCTAACCCCTTCCCTTGGTTTACCAAGCCATGGCGTGACATACTCCAAACGATTCACCACTAAACTAAACCGATGTCTTGATGGCTATGTGCAATATATTGATACTTTGGACTAATGACTAAAGGCTATTGGCCCTTCAAGAGTGTATTGGATCGTGTTGTCTTTTTCCTCTCTCCCTGTATCTACTTACGGGCGGTGGCCACATGGTACTAAGGATGAATGTCATCTTATCCATGGTCCGTCTACCTAATCGATCTACAAATATCTACAGTAACTATCTGAATCAGCTAATTGCCCACCAAGACCCGCATTTAAAACATAACATGTTAAAACCGTTTCTTCTCGCACCGCCTCTTACATGCGATCTCGTCTAATCATGGTGCTTCTTCTCCCGATCTCCCATCCGTCCCACGTCCGGGGTCAACTCCTCTCCGGAGAAAGCCCACCCTCCGAACTCTCAAACGCCGTCCGGGAGTCGAAACGTCCAAAGCTCGTGTTCTCTCTCTCTCTCGCTCTATCTGTGTCTCAATTCAAAGTGCTTCTGCCCTTCATGCCAGTTCAGGTCCAAAAAGTTCGACTGGAATGGGTGTTCCTGCGCACGGTGTGATTCTTCATTCTCCTCGACTCAACCTTAGCCAGCTGCCTTTGTGATTGTTCCCAACCACGAAAGCCTCACCGTCCGCTCTCACTGGCGTTGCCCGTCCCCGACTCTGATCGGCGCAGCCGAGGCGCTGCACTATTTGCACCCAACCTGAGCGTGCGAACCAACAATTGCAGGTGAAAAGCGGACACCGGCTGCACCTAGGCTTGAGCCTATTAGACGCGAACCTCAGACTTTGGTGACTAGGCCGGCTAGAGCTATGCAGATGTCCAGCATTTTCGGCTGCAACACTCACCATCACCTCTCGTCACTTCTTCTCACCGCCGAAGGGCCGCCAAGATAGACAGCAAGTCAAGGCACAATTCTCCACCTGTGCACCAGAGCGCGGCCGTCTGAAAAACCAGATCCTCCTATGCATTCAAAACGGGAATGTCCAAACTGACCAGCTGCAGGTTTGCCCTCCCGATGCCACCAAGCAACATCAAGCAACAATCACGGCAAAATCCCCAGTCCGGTAGCCGGAAATATCATGAAATACCTGTATAAGCTGGCCTCCCACTTTGTCTCTCTGCTGTGCAGTCCTTGGTCGATTTTCAACAAAGCAGGCGATGGCTCCACTCAAGGATATTCTGAGAGCGGTGGAGTAAGATTTGGGTGCTGGCGGGGGGCTCCTGCGGATTTGTATCGAAAAGACTCGAAAAGCATATATCAGGTGAGAGTTGGCTGCGCTGCCTCATGTTCAAGCTTCAACTGTGCCAGCATAGACCCTTTCTCAAGTCCCCTGGGAGCCTAGCTCCGGGGAAAAAGTCCCTGCCCGTAAACCGGAAAAGTTGCATAACTCCTACACACACACACACAATGAGTTCCCCTCTGGAAAGAATGTCCGTCACTGTCACATGCACATGCATAAAAAACACACAACATCGATTCATGTGACTTAGATGCCGCCAAAGGAATTTGTGTCCCTGCTGGATGGTTCTCCTCAACCTCTACCATGTCCGACGTCCGTCCTGAAGCTATGACGCTATGACGTGCGTGAAAGTTATGAGAGCATCTCTGTTGATCCAGTGATCTACTTCAAGATCAACCCACACTTGGGTCAACCTGCATTCATCAGCCTTGGGGCCTTGGAAATCCTTCAAACCTTGGGGCCTTGGCCCCTCACGCCGAGGTCGTCTTCGGCCAAGCTTCTTGACGCCTCGGTGATATCGTCCATGCCGATGCCCAAACAACATGTCGGCCTGCCCGTGACGTCGAAGCTCGTCCGCGCCGCTCCGGTGCACCTCTCCACGCCGCCCCGAACGTCGAAGACGACGCCCGAAGGTGGAACTCGTGCGCTGCTGCACCGGCAAGGCGGGGCAGGTCGGATCGGGGGAACTGAGGACCTGGACGAGAGGACCTGGAACTGAGGTCCGGCACCCAACAAGAACTGAGGTAGATCCCTGTGCAATGTGCAAGGATCTCCTGCCAACCAACACCTATCCTTTCGACATGTTTTTGCGATCGCTGGAAGTTTGAACTCACTGTTGTAAAGTAAATGAAGGTTCAACTGATTTGTAAAAAATAGTTAGTGGAATTTGTGATCCAACTGTCAGAAGCATTCAGAGGTTGCTACATTAATTATGAATACAATACCTCGTCGCACTTAAATGTGCTGGGTCCGTTTGCCCGAATCTTTGAGTTGCCGCAGCCCAAAGATTTGGCATATCCCATTCCCTGTAACAGTGGATGATGGTTTGCAAATGCGTTTTTCTCTCTCTCTCTCTCTCGTGGGCTAGACTAGTGATAACTGTTTACCGACTGCTACATGGGACACACCCAATCCTACCTGTTGGTGCAACACTTATCACTCTCTCTCTCTCTCTCGTCACAAGGAGCCGTCTCACAGAACTTCACAGAGACACCGCCGCCCAGAGACACCCAGTACTTCAGGTTCCCCGGGCTGGAGAGGGGGAGAAAACGGAACTACAGTACCTGAGGACCTGGAGCTAGACGGTTACACTCTGACTCACTAACATGGAACTGGATGGCATGGTCCCTTGGAAGACTACTTTCCTTTACCAACCGGTGGTTGTCCACTTTCGTGAGTCGGAGTTCACCTTTGGCTCAGACCGAGGCCCTCAAAGATGCTCGCAGGGTTCCCAGTCTGCCTGCTGTCAGCGTTGCCCATCCTGAGCTGCTTTCTGACCGGCTCGAAAAAGTATCCAGACTTAGGGCATGGCAGAGGGTAATGAGCCAATAATGGGGTTTTGTCTGAATGATCGTATAGCATTGACAGAATTGAATAGCACACACACAAAAAATGACCTCCTTGATTCAATTCCAAGTCTGCATGCAATAGATCAGGCACATCACCTTCTTCGGAGCTCTCACCAACCACTTTTTTCAAGCACACGTCCACCTTGGATGGGTTCCTGGATGGCCTGCAATTGAAACCATCGCCAACACCCACAGTTGGCCATCTCCGTCCCTGGGCTGGCCACCAACCCATCTGCCACCAAGCGGCCGTGCAGTTTTGCAGTTGGCTTAGGGCAACATCCGTGCGGAACGGGTAAAAAACGTGAGGAGCTACTTTCGCGCAAGGCGCACAGGAGTAGCTGCTCCCCTGTATGGGGGTGGTGCTCGCGTCTGGTGTATTTGTAGGCTGACGTGGGGCTCACAATGGTGTGGTCAGTGTCTGTTGGGTGGGAGGTTGAGTGAGGTTGAGTGAGTTGTCTTGGTTGTCTTCTGGGGTGCGTGGCTGACCCATTTCCGGCTGGTTGGGCTGGGTGGGTTGGGCTGCGAATCTCCATCGGCTCCCCTACCTTCCAGTGAGCCCAGGCTGAACGCGCAAGCGTCTTGAGTGGGATTCGGGACACTACTAAAAGAAAACATATGTGGCACTTGCATGTGGAAGTTGGGAGAGGAAAATTCCTGGCTCTTTATAGGCCTTAGTGCGATCTCATGAATTATATATATATATATTGAACAAGGACTCGGCTAGATATGACAAACGGCCAGCTGGCGCTCCGGGATGCACGTACGTCTTTTTCTTTATTCGCTGTGGACCACTGAATCCTGCTGATCTGATCCATCAAAGCATTAAGAAGTTAAAGTGTTATGTGATGTTTCAAGATTTACTTACTTTGCTTCTTGATTTCCTGCCATGGATGGATGAAACAGGGCCCACCCGTCGCAACCCTTCCAGGATTCCACTGATCAGTCGCAAGCTGTCGGAGACGCCTGGTGAGCTACCGACGTGGGAGACTGTTGTGAGGTCGTCCGATGGCTCAGTCGCGGCAGGTGGTCGCCTATGTACAATCCCGAACGGCCGGCGTTCGGGGTCAGCCTTCCCCTGCAGCGCGAGTGGGGTGGAGGGCTTCGGATGAAATCAACGTATCCTCACATGCCGGGGTGGGCAAACACTTCTCAGTAGGCTAGTCAACAAGTTCTGGTAGTCACTTCTCGGGCTTTTTGCCCGACAATCTCCAGTTCGGCGACGCCAACTCCACCTCAAGCAGACTCCTTCTTGAGGTCTGGCCTTCCAGTCGAGGGCAGGGGAGTGGTGGTCTAGGGCTGAGGACCAAGAGGTAGGTTTCGGCGCTTCACTTCACAGAAGGGGATCGGTGTGACAGGTGCGCATCCTACGGTGTGTTGCTTAGGTCACCTGAGCAGCAGCATCTCGGTTTTGTTGAAGCATGAGGTGTACGAGGGCGGCTTTAAGAATGAAGGGCAGCTTCCACCGGTGCCTATATGCGGAAGTGCTGAGGCGCTCTAAGATTCATCCACCCCTCCACCACTGCAAGCATCACCAACTCTATTCAACAGCCGAGGCGCTTCTGCCGGACGACAGCCCACGCGCAAATGGCCTTAGCCATCTCTCGCGTTTTTCCGTTTAGGGATGCTTTGGGTGAGGCCATTTGTCACAAGTTGTCCACAGGGTGCGTCAGTCCCCACATATCAGGCTTGGCCATGTGGCATGAGTGCAGGCACGCCAAAGTGAAGGGCACTGAGGCTCCCACAAAGTAGCCACCTAGATACAAGTTTGAGGCTCGTGACACTCTTCCAGTGAGACGTTTATTATGTTGAAGGCACCCAACCGGATATCACTCTTTGGATACTTTGGAGGCTTCAAGTTCTACATCGCTGAGGCCCTCCAAAACTCTCAAATGTCTAAAATCAAGCAACCACCCAGGCGCGAGGCGCGTCCGACGGGACCTGCGGGTCCCGTCTTATGTGTGTTTTACACAGCCCTTAAGGTTGGATTTCAGGCCCCCTAGCCCAGCACCTGAGCGAATCCCGAACTGTCCCACTCCCCAGACAGCAACACAAGTGGGTCAATACCTGTCGGGCATATACAGTACCAGTAACCGTGGATGATGCTGGTTCAGTTGCAGGCCTCTTTCTCTAAAATAGTGATTTGCTTGTTTGCTGACCTCGTACAGGTAACAGGTCATGGGGCACGCCCAAAATATATGTAATATTACGTGTGCTATGTGCTGTTACGTTGAACCGATCCCCAAAGCACCTCCCAGCAGCTGGTGGAAGCTTTGGCCTTAGCATTTCTGCACTAAAACACCGCGGATCTGGAAGATGCACAATACACGTCCAAAAGACCTGGAAACACCGTGGATATTATTGTGTTCTCATGTCTTTTTTGTTCCAGGTTACTAGGTTGGAGCCCGCTCCTAGGTTGGAGGCCATCACTGCTAGGTCTGCTAGGTTGAAGGCCATCGCTAGTAGCTTTAAGGATGTTTGAGGCGGCCATTCCTACTACAAGTAGGTTGAAAAACCAGAACCCCAAGAACCCCAACACCCACCGGCTCCGAAGCGTCCACTCTCCGAGCCCCCCCGACGGCTCCACCACACGTAGGCGCGGCCGGCCTGACCGTGACCGACCCGACGAGCCGGCGATCCGCTTCCAATGGGCTCCACGTGGGTCCCACAGCCAAATACGTGGGTCCCAAGGCCATAAATCTGTAAAATCCATTGAGAAACATGGGTGAAATTGGGAGCAATGACAACACCGAACTGTTTTCGGAATGTGGCATAATCATGTGGGGCCTCTAGCCAAAAAAATTGGAGCAATGAGAACTGATGCTGGAAACCGGAGCGTTGTCCCATTGTCAAACAAAGAAGCTGAGAGAAAGTTCTGGTGCTTGGTAGGATCCTTTTCGCTTGGACGGCCCTGGCTGGCCGATGTGTGCTCCTATTTCTGCTGCCAACGATTTCACATGCCCCAGCCATCAGCCATCTGAGCAGCAGACTTCAATGGGATAGGATAAGGCTAGCTCTCGGTCCTGCCAAGGGGGGCACCTTTGAGCTTGAGAGCCCAGTACGGCCAGGGATGGCCAGGGAGGGTCTTCATGAAGCACGTCCTGCTCCTAATTAGTAGCGTCCGATCGCTCCTCGTCGTACGGCCAGGAGCCCCGTTCGTAGCGATGCCCTTTGCTCCTAGTAAGTCCCCCGTCTATGTACATGATATTGGCATTCGCCCCCCTGAAAATTCGCATCCCCCCACATTTGGAGATGCTAGCCATGCGTTTGGCCTGTTGTTTTGGTAGGATTTTGGTGTTTATTTTGCAGAGAGTGTATAGTCATTTCCACTGCTCACACTCACGCGTGACCTGCTCTCTGAACGAGGAACCGTCAACCGGATCCACTCAGAGGAGCGTCCGTTTCAGGGACAGAACCAAGCGAAGACTCCACCAACCTCTTCCGTGCCCAATCTTGATACTCCTGACATGGTCCTGACGACCTTAACCGAACAACCGCCGGTTCACCAATGGATTTCGACTGCAACGCGACCGGGCTTGCCCATCTAACATGGTCCGAGGCGGCTCCGGGAACTGCTCCGGGAACGCTCCTTGGTCTGCAAGGCCAAGGTGGCCTCCTGCCAGGACCTCGGGGCAACGCCACGCACCAAAAGGCAGAAGCTTAACTGACCTGAGTAGCAAGGAAGCTACTAGGAACAAAGGGCATCGCTACTAGGAACAGGGGCGTGATCTACCAAGTTTGGCACGTGTTCTTCTCCGTCACTAAAGTGATCACCAGTCCAGAAATAGATAGAGCTCGGTTTCCAATACATCGTTCATTCACTCTTCCATTGTGGCGTAGCTGAACCATTGGATCTTGATGACCAGTGAGCCCTCTCTGTGTTCCTTTGCCAATGGGCGGCCGCCCTTCCCATGAGCCGAATGGATGCCCAAGTGCAAGCCATGCCCTGCCATGCCCTGCCGCCTGACACAACATGGACCCAGAATCCGTAGTCTTTTCTTTGTCATCCAGCTTCTCGGACTTCGGGCTGACCATCCACCGGCACAAAGAAGCGCAAGGAGACCTCCCGACGATTGTCGGGGAGCAAACCGCCATTGTCCACCTGGCACTGGCACGTGTTTTTTTCGCATTTGGTCCGGAATCGAGAGGTCGGGAAAGCGCATGTGTTCATGAAGGAGTTCTGCCGGTTCTCTTAGCCGTTCCTCCAATGTTCATACAAAACTGGAGGTGGTTCATAGTTGGGCCTGGGGGGAGTGCCTTCCACCCCAAAGAACAGGAAAGGACTGCGCTGCCTCCATGCTGCTCTCCGGACGGCAAAGCCGCAGCTCGGTCAAGACCTGCGACAGCCATCCGTGAGTTCTTTCGATCGTGGCCATCCTACAGCCATTTGGTCTGAACAATTCTAAACAGCCACGGGGTCACAATCACCAATCGACAAATGAGTCATTAACGACTGATTGGATCAGACAAACCCGCTTCCCTCGGACAAATGTCGCTGAAGACTTGTACGGCGTTTGATTTCCACATATTTCTACGCACGGAGGGAGGAGAAACCGTGTTGAGCACAAGTCTCAGAAAACCCCTACCAAACCTTCACATTGGCACTATAAAGAGCGTTTAACCTTTCCAGCCAATATCTCTACATCTGGGCGATCATCTGGGCACTTGGGCATCCAGCGCCCAGCCCGCGTTTTCTCCATTTTCCAGCCCGCCTTGGACGCGGAGTTTCCCCCACGCCTTCCACCAGGTGGACCTCCGGGCCTCCAGGTCCATCAGTCGGAAGCTTCGTAAGACTTCTGCAGTGAGGCCGCTGAGGAGGGACCAAGCAGTGCCTTGGACGCGGTGCACCCAGATCTCTTCGTGGCAGGTGCTTTGGGACGCGGCTGGGGCCGGCGCCCAAGGGGAGCCACCCCCAAATGTCTGAGCTCAGTGTCTGTTCCATGCTGAGTGTCTACCCATCATCCATCGACCACACACACACACACTCATTGCTCCGCCTCAACTCTTTCAACTCGGCTCCCGTTTTCTCACCCCCCTTGCGGGCCGATCCACTCAGCGGCCGGTTGCCGCTCGGATCGTCGCTGTCGCAGCCGGTCACAAGGACTTCACGGCCTCGGGGACAGGTCTCGAGCGGTCTTGAGCCGTCTTTGTTCGGGGCGGGGATCCGAGGGTTTCGATGCAAAACCGGGCACAAGCCATGGAACAACCCCACCACACAAATTCCTCCACATCGAAAATCCCATCTACCTACAAAGTCCCATCAAAACGGACCACGTGGTCCCTATACTTCCATCACTCAGTCGTTCATGCATCATCAAAATGCTCGAGGATGCAGGGGGGTTGTAGCCTCGCTCTCGCACTTTCTGGGCCACAAAGAACGACCCCCCCCGAGGTATGGGGCGGACATTTCTGAGGTGCTGGCGGTCGGCCAGTTTGGCCTCAGAGAAGGTAACCGCCCGGCCCTGACCAAACCCCACTCGACTCGCCGACGCGTGCACGGACCTCAAACAAGTGGAACGGACCTCAAACGTCCGGGGTTCCAGGTGGACATGTTTGAGGGATTTTCAAGGGACAGTTGTCAGGTCACCTGGGAACCCTTGGCACGAGCAGCAACCACGTCTCGCGCGCTTCGAGCAGTCTCCAACTCCGTCGGGAGTTGATCCATCATCCGTGCTGGGTATCACTAGAAGGTGGTTGAAGGCTTGTGAATTCAGACGTATTCAATTGAAATGGGGCACCAAAAATTAAATTTGCGTTTCACTGCTCCAAAACTTAATCGTACTGTATCAACTTATGTAACAGGACTTAAACAGGTCATCCAGGAAAATCATCGTCATCATCCTCCACAGTGGCTTCCTGCTTGCTTTTCCTCACACCTCGCCAGGGTTTTATGCCTCAACTGCGCAAGAACCCCTCGCCATCCCTCAGCTCGGCGACCCTTTGTTCCTGCCAGCTAAACGGCCGAGTTCATGAGGGCCAGCAGCTTTGGCCAGAGGTCCCCGACATCACCCAGCTCTGTTTGGCCAAGAATGAGCGAGCCCAAGCCCAGGGCAATGAAAAGCGTGAGCCAATCGAAGTTTTCCAGAGCTCCTTGCGGAAATGGCTTCAAGCTCTTGCGGAGAATCAGGGCCACCTGGGCACAGGGTGCTGGTGAGCTGGTGGTGCTTGGCTGAGACCACATCGAACTTCGACTTGTGCAACATTCGAGTTCATGCGAGGCAACATGGCCTCAGCATGCCTCCGCGATCCCTCTATCCATGGGTTTGCCACATTCAAACAATAAGCCTATAAGCCTTCAAAGTTTCAGAACAGGACACCACCACTGAAGACATAGGCTGAGTGAAAATTGAAACCCAAACGATGCATGGCCGCCAGAATCAATCATCACTGCATCACCCGGATGCTCCTCTCTGCATCACCTTTCTACGCCTTTCTCATCCTTTCTGCCCCCAAGTGACGGTCTTTCGTTCGGCCACCTGTCGTCCGCCGCCACTCTTGTCGAGGAAGAAGGTGGCCTTCACCCAAAGAGCGGACGGTGCCACCCCCCATTGTGTCTTTGGCGCTCTTTGGTTGTGGGGTCAGAACCAGCTCCAGTGTGCAAACTGTCACAGACCCTCACGTTCAACTGGCATTTCACCATTTTCACGCACAAAGCAACATTTGTCTCTGTGTTTTTCCCAACTCACTGATTTTATCTGATTTTATCCGATATCCTTTTCATAAGAAGGTGAGCTGCCCCATCAAGTGCAGCTTCATCTTTCAAGGCTTCTCATGGCTTCACTCGGGCGTTTCTCCCAAACACGACGGGTCTGGGACGGGTCGAGGTTCGATGCAGTGGGCCATCAGAGGTAAGAAATGGCACTGGCACCCCAGTCGATGTCTTTGATTTAGATAGGGGGTCCATACTTGCACCGACCCTGGCCTTTTCGCCCCATTGCTCAACCCACAACCGGCCCCATTGCTCGGCTGGATGGTGGTTCGAAGAACGTCCCGCGTGCGGTCCCATGGCCTCGGCGGGCCGTAGACCAGCCAATCGATATCCCAGGCGCCCATAGACACCTCTGGCCTCACCCAGGCGCGAGTGGCGGATGGAACTTGGCTGCAGCAGTTCGGAGGTTCGGCTGTTTCGGGTCGGATGTTCGGCGGCCGTTTCCTTCCCAAGAGGCCCGGGTATGTCGGACAAGCTGTTCTTCCATGTTCTTCATGGTTCTTCTCAACCTCCCACAGCTTGGAAGGTTTTTGGTCGAATTCTTCTTCAAAGGGGCTACTCTTTCCTTTTCTTCAATGATGAGCCGATGGATGAGTTCAAGCAAGCTGTATAGGAAGTGTCTGGCAACTCTGACACGACATATTTGAGCAGAAGAAGGTGATCTGTGGTGATCTCATCAGGTTCTTCCTCCCTCCCCAGCGGATCCCCGGAGGGCCCCCCCCGGATCGCAAGGTCGGCACCGGTCCAGAGTCTCTCACCTGGAAGTTGCTGGCTTCCACCAGCAGCACCAGCTCATCATAGCCCCACGTGCGGACCACCTCCTGGAAGGAAGGGGCTCGACCAGTCGCGTGAGAGGGATGTCTGACAGCAGATGGGAGCAGCACCTCTCCGATGACAACCCTTCCAGGTACAGCGTGCATCTATGTTACACCCTGGGGAGGATCAACAATTGCATGTGATTTGGTTAGATTCAGATGGACCCAACCTGGCACAACACATGCTCAGCCATTGGCCCCACCATCACTTCGGCTCAAGGACCAACGTATGCCAACTTGTCATGTTCCTTGATAAGGGGAATATGACATACAGATCAAAGGGAATATCTTACCAACTTACCAACTTAACGGCGATCAAAAGGGCAATATCTTCTTCACTTCAGGCGGCCACCCTTTTTGGCCCCAACCACTCACCTTTCTTTCGTATCGTCCAGTTCCAGTCAGTGCGGACAGGGACTGCTGGTTGAACCTCCCACCGCCTTTTCTGAAACGAAGCACGCGTCGTTTTCACGGCACGAAAGCGTTTTCCGGTCCACACCTCTCGCAGTTGAACAAGCGAACAGACTTGAACTCCTCTGCTGAGTGGGAACATACTATAAGAAGAAACCCTTCTGCCAGTCATGACGAAATTAACATGTGCATCTGTTTTGAAGATCCTGCAGGTGTCCTGACAGATTCCCCGCATTCCACCAGTTCATGTTTCCTGCTCTCCTCCAGCTGCTCCACGAGCTTCCGGGCAACCCCTCGCCCTCGACACTCCTGGAGTATAGGCCAAGGGGGCGGCGCTCCGGGTGAGCTGACCGTAGATGGCACAAGTTACTCCAAGGTCGGTGGTGCCAGTATGGACCCATCTCAAGGACATCATGGGGTCTGTGCCATCTACTCTGAAACCACTGTAGCATGTTTGGGGATGTGTTTCTTTTTCCGGGTGTTGTTGGAAGTTGACTGACGAATGCCTAGCGGAAAAAGTAAAACGTGGCATCCTCCTCAAGCAGTTGCAAGCCCCTGAGAAACATGTGGGAAACTGTCATCCTCAAGTGTCGGCATAGCCATCCTCAATGATTGGCCGAAACCTACACACTACTACAGGTCAAACCTGCTGCAGGACTGACCAAAACCACGCCCAAAACCCAGCGAACTCGACCACATGAGCTAAATCGGGCCGAGTTCCGGACCTTGGACCTGTCAGGGAGCCTGTCAGGACCCAACCCCCGCACCACCGAGCCGTGCCGAAGCGCCTCCGCGACCGCTAAATCCGCCATCACCGGTCGAAGCACCGTCCTCGTGTGTTTCGGTCCGGCGAAAGGTGGTTCCAAAACCCTGGGCGTTTTCCCTAGACTTCCAACCACCAAAGGCAATTAATAGGCTGAATCCCGAACCAACTAATGATTTTACAATACAAAAACCAGTTCAACCATTTATTATATAACATAGTCTTGGAAGTCTAGGGTTTTCCCACCGACAATGAGCAGAACATGGTGAACCAGACATGTTTCACCTACCTACGGAGAATAGGGTCCGGGTGCCCATGCCCGCCAAATGTGATGGAAACAGGACATTCTTTCAGGGACACCGAAATCCGGCGTGGCGCGTGCTGTGCCCGGTGCGCCCCAAACTGCCGTTGTGCTGATCCGCTGTCAGGGTCGGGGAACTCCGCTCCGCATGGATCCCTGCGGACTTATGGAATATGGGGCTCCTTAGCTTCCCTCCTGAACAAAAGCTAGCAATACATCTTTGAGGGATCTTCAGTTTTCAACACTTTCCAGGACACGTGGAATACTCCATTCAATGCGTTTGGTGCAATGTTCCTTGACGAAAAGCCTCCCGAACATATAGAACTGGCTTCACCGTGCATGGCTTCCAAAAAGATTACTGACTCCAAACACGTCTCCTTTGCACCGGGGTGCAAACACCATCTCCGAAGCCCAGCGTGGCCCAACGTGCAGCCAAGTGGACTGTTGGCACCCATCGTACTGAGTGTTTGGCAGCTGCTGGTTGCTGAGGCGATTGAAGCACTTCACTTCGCACCCCACACAGCCGACGACTTTGGAGGATGAGCCTGGCGGATGAAACATGGAACCGACAAGCTGACCGTTCAGGAACCGACATCAACATCAGCATTCGCAACTCAGGGGAAATGTTTGACACAAACTCCTCGGCCTCAGCCCAGTCTGACCTCCCATCTCTAAAGCAAACCGTTTTTTCACTGTGGGCTCCACTTCCAACAGCGGTCGGGGGCCCCGCCTGATCCGCCCAGATCGAACCACTCCGACCACCAGTTGCTCTCCTTCTTGGGCGGATCTGTCCTCGAATGCTGACGGGAACACATCTCAAAACGAGAACGGAGCAGGGCACTCTTTCATGAGCGACCTGCCTGGTGAATGAAGGGAAGTCAGACGTCATTGGCCAGTCTGACTGCAAGGCAACATAGGTGCCTGGTGGGGTGTGCCTGGCGGCTGGGTTCCATATCCTTTTCTGCATGACTAGGCTGGTTCTTGTGGTTGATATATGGCTATTTTTCCTCCACCAACTAGCGAATCAATTGGACAGGTGGCTCGCGCAGTCGCGCCACCAGCATCGTGCTCGGGTAGCCGGTGTCCTCAAGGGCTCAAAGGACGGGGATGCCTGTCTAGGACTTGAAGGGTCGCAAAGGCAAATGCAGCCATCACAGTACATAAAGTCATTTAGCACTCATTGAGGTTACAGTCGGCACAGTGAAGGTTCAGTACATAAATAACGTCATTTGACTCCGACTATGTATTGCATCCAATTCCCCACGTGTGCGGACGCCCTCCCATCCGTGTGCGCACGCCCAAGGCACGTTGAGGTAAATGGATTGGTAGACCGGCGCCTCCCTGCTCGAAAGCAGTGCGTAGTCATCATCCGTAAAGGTCGGCGTGTCCAACCATCCTAGATCTGAGGGACCACTGCGCGAAGTGCTCTTGGAGGGTTTTGCTTGTGTCCAACCATCCTAGTAGCATCGGGACCACGAGGCGGAAGTGCTCTTGGAGGGTTTTGGTTGTGTAACTTGTGTGTACCAATGGGGAGACCTACGTGGAAGAAGGAAAATGGACGCTATAAAGATACGCACCATTACGCACCCATATTTCTTCTACCAGGTGGAGGCAACGTGTTAAGCCTGTGGGGAGTGTGCTATCCACATAGGGCCACTCAGAGGAGCTCCCAGCTACCAGGTCACGGGCAATCCCGTTTGGCAAATCGATGGGAGGTCTGAAATGTGTGACAAATCCGCACTATTCCGCAGACCAAACACTCATATTCTACTGAATCTACTGACCAAAAGTGCCCAAAAAGAGACGAACATGCGTCTTCGAAGAACGTCTCTCCTCGCACCTCGGGTCCACCGGAGCGCGCGCACGGCCACCGACGCGGCAGCGCTCAGATCACTGGACGTGGCCGGCAGGATCCTCGGCCCCGGTGGGGGGCGGTTCAAGTGGCTCGTAAGTGTTCTCTCTACTTCAATAGGTCGAAAATGGTTTTCCTATACGGTATTTTCTTTGGACATGTCTGGAGAGGGTTTCATTGCGTTCTTTTGGCATGCATATCAATTTATTGGTTCCTAGGTCCTGCCATGTCCTACAAATTCGCACAGGTTTCTGATGCTGCAGAAACCTCTTCCTCCTCGGGTCCTCGGGTTTGAGTTTCTCCACATCAGCGACTCCGCCCAACAACCCCCGTGCGCACGGGGTCCTTTGGGGTCTCCGGTCACCCGCTGCGGCTGAGGACCGTACTGGAGGTCGGAGGTCGCCCGAAGTTGTGAAGGAAGAGGTCGCACCTATGGAAGGGGTGAACATTCCCAAATAAAGGCAGAACTGACTCGAGTACTCCAACTGCCCAGTCCAAAACTTGGCTGTGATTGAGGCCTGCCGACAAGAAAATGCCTCGAAAAATGTTGGGCCGTTGGTGCAGGCCTTGGTCAAGAGCTACTGCTGTATCTTATGTGTTTGGTCCATTCCACCATCCATCTCATCTCAACCATGCAGATCTCCGCGGTCTCCCTCTCTCTTTCTCTCTCAAGGATTCTCGCCCAATGGTTTGAGGTCTTTAGATGTCCTTTGTGATGACCCCAAGTCAGCTCCTCAAGTTCCTAAACACAAAGTTGGCTCCTTAGAGACTTGACTGATGGAAGAAAACCCGCGGCTTTCGCCCTCAAACCTCAAAACATGGACTGTGGCATTCCGCATCTGAAGTCGTGCAGGGCACCTTGAACACAAGGTGCAAGGGCGCCCTGTCTTCACAACAATTGATGTCAGTTCTTGCCCCAGCAGCAGCACTGGCCACTGCCCACCCCGCCTTCTTCCTACCACAGCGTGCCAGAGCAAGAGAAGCAGCACTGGCAGCCAAGCAAACGCCCTGCATCTGGGAGATGGAACTGTTTTTTTGCTTCTTACCCACCACTGGGTATCTCCAGAGCTGATTACAAAGCCAGTGGATCTTACAATCAAGCCTGCAAGGCTTGGATGCGGGACATAAGCCATGCTCAGCGTGAAACGGAGTGAATACAGACCACTCAGTGGTACAAAGGCTCAGCAAGAAACATCTGTGCAGTTGCCGCGGGGCAGCTCATTTACATAGAATCCTATGCATTTTTCTGGCCTCCTTGCTACAGCAATAGCAAACGGCAAACACTCCCCATAAGTAAGGTCAACAAGAACAAACCTGGAACCATTTGGAATTCCACACATGAAGCCCCTGCATGTTACACAGCATATAATCGGTCATCCCAATCAACGATATCCATATATCCATGCTGCATGCTTGCCCAAGTAGAATCGAACAGATGTGGTGCATCCCTCCTGGAGTCCAGCAGCTGAACGGCGCCGGGCGCTGCGCGCTGGAGCAGCTGGTGGTTTCTCCAGCTGTCTCGGCTCCAACACATCGCCACCCGCAAGGAAGCGTGCCGGGTGGAGTTGCAGCTGCGCTGGCGTCAACATGCTGGCAGGGCTGTGTGAAGGTCCTGCGAAGTAGTTGCTGCTGATTTTTCTAGGGGCGCCCCTGGACATGTGCTGGCAATGGTCATGTATATACCTTTGATACAGCATCCCGACTCAAAACAGTCAGGTCTTCATTAAGCATCACTGGTGGGTGGACCTCGTCCCATGAGATACCCAGACACCTTGCTCTCTCTCTCTATATATATATAGATGATTTAGACATTGGTGCGGTTGTTTTGCAGAACAAGTGTGAGCGCAGGTAAATGGTAATAGCTCCTGGACTCCTGGACCACCTACTTCTGACATCTTCCAAACAGCAGCACCACTTGGGATCTTAAAGAGCTGTCTCTGCTAGCAAGCTTGCTCCAAGAGCCACAACTGTAGGCAGGCATGCGTCGCGGTGTCAGAACTGACTTCCCGTTTCTAGACAAAGAACGAGCCACTCTACCACAACAAACTGGCAATTCACAGCATTCTTCTTCATTCTTCTTCTTGCTCGCCATTGATCTCAGCACCAAGCCCTGCAAATTTCAGCCAAGCTTGACCAAAGGCCTGCCAACGGTACTCTCTCTCTCTCTCTTCTCTCTCCCTCTGTCAATCACTCAACACGTGGGAAGGGTTTATGTCGAGCAGCCTATGCTCCAACAGCATGTTCTCATCAATCGACCAAACGCAGGCACCAACAACACACTGGCTCCAGAAGACTCCCGTGAGCCAGCTTGCCTTCCATCTCCGGTCAGGGACTGCGGGGACCACTCAAGAATCAAGAACTGACTTCCTCTTCTCGCTCACCTCTGCCCACCCGCACACGACGTGACGTGAGAGAGTTGCCGTGTTGACCGGTGTTGATCTGCGATCTTCATTCCTTGGCCGACCACTAGACAAGGAGGTGCATCGCTACTAGTAGCAAGGAGGCTACTAGTAGCTCCTGGCATCTACTAGTAACAAGAAGATACTGATACTATAGGTAGCACCCGACCCAGTTCCCATGACCTCTCAACCAGCTCATGCCATCGCGGGCCCAACATCGCACCACAGTCCTGTCATCCCGTTGAAGCAAAGGGACACCGCGCCAAAGGCCTGACAGGTCAAAACCACAACCCAACTCCAGGAGGGAACTCCCTCCGCTAACATCATCACTGCTAGCAACCAGCCACTGGGTGTTTTTCATGTATCTGGTGTATTTCACCTCTTGCTGGACGAATCCAGGAATCTTGGATAAGTGACAATAAATGGCATGTGCCAGGGAATGATGAGCCATACTGGACCAACACTCTGCCCGTATGATTGATGAAAAGCACCCAAAAGCCCTAATTAACGTACCAGTTGGCCAATTGAAGGCTTTCTACGCTTTCGGACCCGCTCTTGCAGCCTAGCTCAACTAGTGGCTAGCTGTCTGATAGAGCTGGAACTTCGGGAAGAACCTCTGCATTTGCAACATGACTCCACATGTCTTGAAGCATTCCGAGCATCATCGGCCAGCACCACCGTGTCATGCACCGTGTCATGCACCGCATGTTGAAAGGCCTTCAACTGCTCCTCGGCGCCCTGATCCCAAAGCTCGCGAACCGGCAGCAAAGGCGTCGGCCTGCGCGGTTGTCTGTGCGGCAGTTCTGTTTGCTTCCACCAGGGCCAGGGCATGGCCTCCCTTAGTTCCATTTGAATTGGTGTCTTTTATGTGCTGGTCACGTGATTTTGGAACATGTTGAAAATTCCTCTCCCCGGCTTTCGTGCAATAAAAATGTCACATGCCGGCATGTCCCTTCCTTTTCGGAGTGCAGAAACCAAAAGCTGTCCGCCTGCGCGACGCCACCCGAAAACCCCGCACCTCACGGCAGCGTCCAATGCACTGAGCTCGCGGCGCCTTTTCGGCCGAGAGGAGGGTGGCGTGGCCGCTACGAGAGGCGGGATGAGAGTGGTGTGGAGGTAGGTGAAGGCCAACAGAAGCCGCAAGTCCAAGTCATGCCAATTCCACATCCAACATCATCCAACATCCAAGGCTGGGCTGGGACCCTCCAAATCCAAGGAAACCTCTGCTACACTGCTACACTTCCACCACTGGACTCACCGAACGGCTGGCCCACCCAGCTGGTCTAATCTGACCCTCCGAGCGCTGGGCGCTCCAATGGCAGCTCGGCCCAACCTGAGGCTCCGGAGCTGCCGAACAGCGGGGCGACTCCGGAGCCACATGCTGCATTAGGCTGCATATATACATGACATGACTGTGCAAACTCCCACAGACCCAAGTTAGGAAGAAGAAAATAACATCATACAAGTCTATATGAAATGTTCTTTTTCTGCTGCGCGTCCTGTCCCTCTCCATGAACCGAGTAAGGCTAGTCGGCTGGTCCCTGCGGGTGGACTTGCACCTCTTCGTCGACTTCTTTGATTCTGAGAAAACCAGGCGTGGAGAGGCCAGGAGCGTCCTTGAAACAAACCGTTCCCAAATGGACAAAACCCAGAAGGTGGTTGCCGTTGGTAATCTTGGATATCCTGAGTATCCTGGGTGCGTCAGGGTAGGCTCTTGATGATTGAATAACCCCGCCCTTTTGGCTTGTAACATCCACCTCTGGTCGTCGCCCATCGAGGCCAAAGAACGCATTGGCAAAGAGCTGCTCGTCGCCGTTCACTTCGTGCCACCAGCCTCCATGCGCGGGCAAAGGCCCAGATTCTCGTCCAAAAAGGGAGGTTTGGGCTCCAGAATGAATCACGGAAATGCTGTGAAAAGAAAGCAGGTTTGGAAACTCGTGACGAGGATGGTTCCCAAAAGGGTTGGAATCATCCCGACATGCTCTCCAAAGAGCTGCCTACTTAATATATATATATATATAGCATCCTCTAGATTCTAGATTACTAGTCCCGGGAAGTCCAAGACCGGTTTTAAACTAGCTGATCTGGATTTGTCGTGTCAAGTCCTTTAGTCCAACCATGCTTCTTCGGCGCCCCAAAAGGGCTCAATCCATGGTGCTCCGACGCCAGTCCATGGCCACGCGCAGAGTCCCGGGGCCCCCCGCCCATGGCCACAGCCAGCAGGGCTGCGAAGAGTCGAGACCTTGGCGCCACGAAAAGAACGGCGGTCACCGACGGCGTGGGAGGTGTGGGACGGCAGTTTTGTCTGCCCGTGGAGTAGGAGGAAGAGACACAGAGAGGGTTGAAAAAACATTACGGCAAGTCTTGCACATCCTTAATCCCTCACTCGTGCTTGATTTGAAGGCCCTTCCCGCTTGAGCTGCCTTCTTCTTCTTCTTCTTTCTTCCTTCTTTCTTCCTTCTTTCTTCCTTCTTTCTTCCTTCTTTCTTCCTTCTTTCTTCCTTCTTTCTTCCTTCTTTCTTC